AAACATTGGATTTTGTTAATGTCACCATAAAAAATTAATTCATTAAAAAAATAAATAAATTATTTACTCAAAGAAGTTGATGCCTTCATTCTCTTCAGCAACTAGAAACTTAGGTGGTGTTGGGTCAGGTTGGATGTGAAGGACAACTAAAAAACTACATGAGCCAAGTGATGCAGCAAGTACAATGTGTTAGGTTGTTATAGGGGGAGAAATGAGAGGTCGAAGTAGAAAAATAGTTCTCGTGGGCAACGTAAACCAGAACAGTACACTTCTGGCCAAATGTTTCTCTCCCCGAAGACCTAGAAGTGAACATGGTTATCCTTTTTATTGTCATTTTTGATGAACGATCCCTTCTGGCAGCATGCCCAGGCTATATCATGCAACGAGGGCTGTGGATGGTGTATACAGTGTCAGTCCATGAGAATGAGCCTTGAGGCTACATGATGCAACAACAAAAGACAAGGAAGCCAAATGGATCGATGATTTTTAGTTCAATGCTTATGTCTTGCCACTCTGATGAACTGCTGTTACAAAACAATCCTTTAAAAGAAAAATCCAAGAACCAAAATGAAGTGAGGCACTGCATGGTGCAGTCCACACATGAGGATCACTGGCAGACTATTTCTCCTGGTAAGCAGACACTCTGGCAGAATGAAATCCCAGTGGTGGGCTTCAGCTCAGATTTTTTAGCCGCAATACAAATGGCAATTGAGTAGGCAGGCAGAGGTCTTTGAATAGAGTTGGCATCCTTCCATCCCATTTATTTTTGTATTTTTAAAAATATTTTTCTAACTAAATGGAATTTTGAAGCATCCCGAGTAACCAAGTGGTATAAATATTGTTTCATTGCCTCTGAATTTCCATTCTATGATCTGCACCAAAGAGTGATTAAAGCCAGACTTTGTAGTCCTTCGTTTGTCTGCTAAACTATTGCCATAAATCTATGGTGGAATAACTCACATTTTAGAGAAATGACAAAATGGACTAATGGTGAAGGAAAGGAGAAGAAGAGGTATGGGAATGACCTAACGATGACTACAGGTACAAGAGGATGTTAAATGGACTCTTCCAGACATGGAGTTTTGCCCAAGGCCCCGAAGCTGAGCACTCTGTTAGTTAAGTGCCCACTGATTCTAGAGAGACATGCTACACAGGGCCAAGTGGGGAGCCCAAACTACTTCTGCCATCCATGGCCCTCAGCCCTCTTCAGTTTATGTACAAGAGAAGGCAAGAGTGAAAAAGCATTGCTAGCTTCCCCCTACAAATGGAGGGGACTTTGAAAGAACCCCTCAGAGAAACTGACAGGTTCCCCTGTAATGGAAGAGCACATGAAATGATGCTTGACTATCCCCCAAAAATTCAACAGGTAAGAAGCCAGCTGGGGCTGCCTAAGACAACCTATGACAGCAAAGAGAGTGGCTGCGGAGGGAATAACTTCAGCTTCCAGGGCTTAGTTGTCGGGGAGAGGAAACTGTTGGGGTTTTCCCATGGACTCAGTGAGCATCGAGCAAATAGCTTGGCTTGGGTTTTTTTTGGAAGAACCCTGCCCAAGAGGCTTGCTGCAGGTGAGGTGACCCAACAAAAAAAGGCTGGGTGGGAGGTGCTGCAAAAAAAAACACGAGAGCTAGTGGTCTACCAGACAGTGGATAATTTGAACCAGAGAATGGGTGAGAAGGGGTCTCCAAAAAAATCCCAAAGTGAGCCCATAGAAAGAACAGAAGCAGTATTTGGACATTAGCACACTGAGAACTCCAATATCAGATAACAAAATGTTTAATTGTATTAGTATCCTGTGGCTGCCATATTTGGATGGCTTAAAAAAACGGAGCCAGAAGTCTAACCTCAAAGGTTCGCCAGGACAATAATATCTCCAAATGTTCTAGAGAAAAATCAATTCTAGCTTCTTGGAGCTTCAGGTGCCTCTAGCAGTTTCTTGGCTTGGGGCTGCATAACTGCAATGTCCATCTTTGTCTTCATGTGGACTTCGTCTGTTTTTTCTTCTCCTTTTCAATGTCTTACATGTCTCTTTAGAATCATTAGGCACTTGTCAATGGATTTAGGGCCCACCTGGGTAATCCAGGATGATTTCATCTGAAGATTATTAATAATACCTTAAAGACTTTTTTTTGTTTTTCCTCCAAAATATGGTCACATTCACAGGTTCTGGAAGTGTACATATTTATCTTTGGTGGTGGCAGGCAAGGGAGAACTGTCATTCAACCGACAATACTAATCAAATAAATGCTTAAGTTAATAACTCCTTATTATTTCTTTTTACCACTCTCTCCTGTTCCTGCCCTCACCAGAAAAGTGTAGAAAGTAGAGAAAGAATGCAGTAAAGTGAATGAATAAATTAATCTATGTCTTTCCCTTTGTTGTTCTATATTGTTATTGACCACATGTGAACTGAGGGAAAATCAGGTCTTTGCATTGGATGAATTTTTTATATTAGATTAGAACAAACTTTTTCACAACCTAAAAATAAGATTATATCTTTAAATTTCAAATTATGTGGAAAATCTGTGGGATTCGCTGAAGCCTCAAGCTCCAGCCCTGGAAGAAGCAAAGGGAGGGGAAAGAATCTATAAAGTTTGTTTCAAGGCAATGGAAAGAGAAAAAAAAATTATTCTTACATACAACCTGCGGTGCTCCGGCTATTCAATAAATTAGATTTTTAGTTGTTTCTCTTTGGTCTTGTGACAGAAAGAATCTTACAGCAATAACGTTTTGAAAGTAAAGTCCCTTAGGTTATATCCAGGATGGACCTGCAGAAGTCGAACAGGTTTTAAAACTGAATTGCTGCTTCTCTTTTAACAATTATAGCTTGATTTAACAGTTTACTTCTCTTGCCTCCTCCCTACAGCATGGAGGCTGAACTGTCAGCCCAGGACCATAGGATCTCCTACACCCAGCAGAGGAGAGGCGACGGCACGGACGCTGGTCGCGCTGCGCAGGCGCCATTTCCCTAGCACGCATGCGCAGGGTCCGGCCGCGTTCTTTAGTCTGCGGGGTGGGTTGGTTGAGCCTTCGCTGTCCCGCCCCGCGGACCGGAAGTCCTCCCTCGGCGCGAGGGTCACCGAGGACTCCCGGGCTTCTGCGCTTCTCGGTGAGCCACGCGCGGGTCCGCCGGGGTCCCTGCCCATCCCTGCTCGGGGAGAATCTCGGAGCGCCCTGGGCCGGGAGGGCCCGAATGTGCCGTCGCCTCCTCTCCTCCAGACGAGGTCTCCGGGGCGGGCAGATCCCTCCGGCCGCCGCTGCCTTGTGTTGGGTGCCGGGCTGTCAGTCTGTACCTATCTGTCCACCCACCGACTGGAACCCGAACCTGGGCCACAGCTGGTCTCTTCCCCTCGCTGTACCTCCGCTAGGGAGCGTCATAACGGGAGGGCCCTAGCGCAGTACTGAGTGGCTGTTCTTAAACTGCGACGCCCCTGTCAACATTTGGCACCACTTCTCTCCGTAGAGGAAGGGGTTCTTGTGTAGCTGGAGAGATGTCTGTGTGTTACGGCTAGAAACTTAAAATTTCTCTTTAGATCTAAAGCTCTAAACAGATCTAGGTTGCTGCCGATTTGTTAGCAGCTTTTGGAAATTTTTCTTTGATATTTCCTCTCTGGGATTTAAGCCAGATGTGTGCACCTTGCCTATACTGTAGTATTAGTTAATATTTACAAGCTTTTATATGCAGTCGATCAACATATTTAGGACCTACTCTTGCTGGCCCTGTATAAACTCTTTCTGATATGTATTCAGAAGCTATTACCAGGTGCAAATCTAAGCATTATATTAGCATATGCTCTGGAACTGTTCTCCCATATGGTAGTCACTAGCTACATAAGGATATTGAGCATTTGAAATGTGCTTAGTCCGAACTGAGTTCTGCAGTAAGTGTAAAAAAGCGAATTTTGGAGGATTAGTGTGCAAAAGAATATAAAATAACTCAGTAATTTGTTTATAGTGATAACGTTGAAATGCAGTATTTTGGAAACACTGGGTTAAATAAAGTATATTATTAATGCCATGTGTTTGTTTTTTAACATGGTTACTAGACAATTTTAAATTCTATCTGTGGCTTGACTATTTCTAATGCAATATTTCTAGAAAGAGATCAGCAAACTATGGCCTGCAGCTGAATCCAGCTTGCCTGTCTTTGAAAAAAAGATTTATTGGAGCAAAGCCACACTATTCATTTATGTATTGTCTATGGCTGCTGTTCCTGCCATAAGAGCAGCAGAGTCGAGTGGTCCATACAGAGATTGGATGGCCTGCAAAGCCTAAAATATTTACTCTCCAGCGTTTTTCAGAACAAGTTTGCCAACTCCCTGTTCTAGAACAATGCCTAGTATGGAAGACATGTGTAAACCTTTTCATTGTAGTCCTGTGTAATTGTCGGGCTAACTCTGAGAGGCATACTTCTAAGGACTATCTCATTTAATTCTCATTAATCCTAGGATGTGGGATTTCCCCCAGTTTGTAGATGAGGACATTGAGGCACAAAATGGTTATGAAACTCACCCAACGTGCTCAATACTCCTTACTTCTGGAACTACCTTCTTGACCGTCCTTATCCCTAAATGGCTTGACTCCTGCAGCTCACTTGATTAGCCAACAGTAGGCACCATGCTTTTTTCTTTGAACTAGAATTTTTTTAACGATTTTTATTAAACTAGACTTGAGATGAGGTTGGTCTCTTGTGGAAGAAGCTGAAGAGCCCTGAGCTTAGGTGCAGTGCATGCAAGCAAGGTGATCAGTAATGAAAAGAATGAGCCTCACAAGCAGAGAATAAAGAGCATCCTGGATGCTCTTCACTCATTTAACAAAAAATATTTGTTGAGAAATAGCGAGCACTGGCCAGGTGTTTGCCAAGTGTGTACCAGTGAATGAAACAAATGACATCTTTATGGTCTTGTGGGGAAGACAGACAATTAAAATTTGATGTGGTATGCGTCATGAAAAAACAATGTGCAAATACTCGATGTTTTTAACAGATGTCCTCATCTGTAAGATGGAAATACACTGTACACCTGTCCTGTTTCTTGTGAGGATGGAGATGATGTGAGTGCGTATGGCATGGAGAGTTGCTCCATAAATGTGCATTGCCTTCTGCTGTTAAGAGGTAAATGAGGGGATGAATATGCGGAATTGGGTGCATCATGATGCTTAAAACATGGCTGTCACAAGTTGTAATCTGTAGAGAAGGTTCTCAGGTGGGTTGTGCACAGCAGGTGTTTTTAATATTTCCTGATTTAATGGGGCTTATATGGCAAAATCTGAATTCAGAGGGGTTCTGTGCACAGTCTAGGAGCAGGACAGGGGCTGTCTTTGGGCTGCTAGCAGTGTAACTGAGATGGTCCTGCTGCAGGAAGGGAGTCGCGCCTGTACAGTGGTGACAGCTCTGGTTTGAACCAGGTGCACCTGAAGAGGTAAAAATACCCAGGCCTGCCTTCAGGGATGCTAATTCATTCTGATATCATTCTGTCAAACAAGGGCCTGGCATTGTTTGTTTTTGTTTTGGCTGCTTAATTTCTCCAGATGATTTGGATTTGCAGTCAAGGTTGAGAACCAGTCATGGCGAGTGATAGGCCGGGCTCAGGGAGCTGCTGGAGCAAAGGCCCACAGCGGTGAAATGGGCAGTGCCTGTCGGTGGTTCAGCTGGGTCATGGAGGAGGCTGGAAGTGGGGTTTTCATCACCTGGCCAAGGACCTTGCTTTATCTTGAGAGCAAAGGGGACCCTCTGAAGAGCTTTAAGTGGGAAAGTGAGGAACTATCTTGCTAAGATCTGTACCAGAGGGTGACCTCTCTGACAGAGCACTGTGAATCAGAGTGAAGGCGGTGAAGAAACAATTGGAGCTGGCCAGATGATGGCAAACCCAGATTCGGTTTCAGTACTCCTCCGGTGTGTGTCACCTAGTGGCCAGTGTCTGTCCTCGTGGAGTGTAATCGGCTGGTTTCTTCTCTGTATTCCTTCCACTGGGCTGGCAGCTCCTTCAGGCCGAGAGTATCTCTTTAAGGCTCAGCATCTATCATGTACTAAATACAGTAAATATTCATTGAATGAACTATATAGAACCCTAAACTGGACAGACAGCTTACTTTGTCTTTTTATAGCAGTTTTCAAAATTTTGTAGCCCAGTTGCTTCCACACTATACCCTCCTAGGGGAATAAATGCTTTATATCCTCATGATTATCCCAAAGGGGGAATAGAAAGTTTAACAGGATTGAAATACTGTTAAAAATGTGGAGGAGAATGGAAAGCAGTATGGCAGATCCTCAAAAAATTAATAGAATTCTCATATAATCCAGCAGTCCCACTTCTGGCTATATACCCAAAAGAATTGAACGTAGGGTCTCAAAAAGATATTTTTTACCCCCATGTTCATAGCAGTATTATTCACAAGACCCAAAAGGTGGAAGCCACCCAGGTGTCCATCAACGGATGAATGGATAAGCAACATGTGATCTCTTCATGTGATGGAATATCATTTAGCCTTAACAAGGGAGGAAATCCCGACACATGCTACACATGGATGAAACTTGTGGACATCAGGCTAAGTGAAATAAGCCAGTCATAAGACAAATACTGTATGATTCCAATTATATGAGGTATCTAAAGTAGTCAAATTCATAGAAATAGAAAGTAGAATGGTGTTTGACAGGGGGCTGGGGGGAGAAAGGAATGGGAAGTTAGTGTGTAATGGGGACAAAGTTTGTTTTGCAAGATAGAAAGATTTCTGGAGGTTGATTGCACAATTCTGAATGTGCTTAACACTCCTGAACCATACACTTAAAAAGCGTCGAGATGGTAATTTTATGGCATGTGTAGTTTACCACGATTAAAAATTACAAATAAGTAAATATGGAGGAGAGGCAAATAGAGACAAAGTGAAGAGCAGAGTGCTTACACATGAATACATTCATTTGTGTACATTTACGTGAGCAAAGAACAGGTTTTGCTGGTATGATAGATGGCTGCCCTCATGGCACTGAGGCCCTAAAACTCCAGTTCAAGTCCCCTTCAGGATCTCCTTGAGACTGAGCCTTCGTGGAGAAATTCCGACCTGAGTTAAATATTGCCTAAGCTCCTTACAGGCACGCTAGACCCGGCCCTCATTAACCACCTCACTGAGTCCAGCAAACTTCAACCGTGGGTTCTCTGGTAGTGATGCATATAGAATGACTATAGAATGCAGGCTGCGTGACTATTGCTTCTGTGTTAGGAAACGGTCCAGCACGTGGGGGACAGTTGGAGACCTCATCATGGTGACGTGGCTGCTTCACTTCCTCCAGACCCCCACAGTCTCAGGAGACAGTTGTGAAAAGAGTGTCTAGCGATTGAGGATGTGCATTTTTTTTCCTTCCGTATTATCTTGCCTATTCTTTGTTTACTAAGCCTTTGATTCTTAGGAAGGCCTCTTTTATGGTTTTCAGTCTTTAAAAGTGGCACTTAAAAAGGAGAAACAATGATCTTGAAAGTACTGAATCTTGATCATTAGAAAAATAATCACTTAAGATCCTGAATTGATGATCCGCTAAGTGACTCTATATATTAATAAATATATAAAAGGCCGCCTAGGTTGTGTACAGCTCCACCTGGACGTAAAAAAGTCAGACTCGGAATCTTGGTCATCTGGATCTGTCCCAGCAGGGCGACACCGTGGCCAAGAGTACTTAATTCTTCATATTCGGTGATAGATTTTGAAGGGAGAGTCATCTATTTGAGATTCAGCAATAGACTTCTGAGGAAATCGCACATGCTGACCTGAAGGCAAAACCTCAGGTGAGGGCGCACCTTTCTTTCCCATATTCTGATTCCAGAAGATCACTGATCCATTTACCATGCCATTTTTAAGTAGGCACACATCTTAAATGTATAGCGTTATCGTGAAATTATATTAGACTAATAACTTTTCTGATTGTGAAAATAATACATGTTCATCATAGAAAATACAGAAAAGTAAAAGAACGAACAAAAATCACCTAAAATCTTTCCATTCAGAAAATGACACTGCCTAAAATTTTTTGTTTCTATCTTAGGCCTTTTCTCTTCACATGTGATCTTTAAATAAAATTTAGATCAGATTCTGTGTTGTTTTTAAATAACAACTTTATTCAGCTATAATTTACATACCATACAGTTCACCGAGTTAAAGTGTACACTTCTGTGGTTTTTAGTATATTGACAGCTGTGTAACTCCTCACCACAATCAACTTTAGAGATTTTTCACCTCACCCAAGAAAAACTGTATCCGTTATCAGCCACTCCCCTTTTCATTCCACTTCTCTGGTCTCTCCCCACTCCGATCCCCAGCCCTAGCTAACCACCAGTTTACGTTGTGTCTCTCCAGATTTGCCTATTCTGTACATTTCATATGAGTGGAATCATACAATGTGTGGTCTGTGTCTTTAACTTAGCCTAGTGTTTTCAGGGCTCATCCATGTTACAGCGTGTACCAGAATTTCATTTCTTTTTATTGCCAAATAACATTCCATTATATGGATATATTACATTTAGTTTATTCATTAGTTGATGGACATTTAGGTTGTTTCCACCTTTTGTCTATTATGAATAATACTGCTATTAACATCCGTGTGCAAGTTTAACCATTTGGGACCTTCTAGTTTCTTCTCAGTTTGCAGAACATTCTTATATACACAGCCACATCTCTCATTTCCTTAAAGTAAACTTATAGAAGTAGAATTGCTAACTAAAAGGACGTACATTTTATAGCACGTTTCAGATGGTTTCTAGGAAGACTGCATTCATTCTTTGTAGCTGCTTTAGTGCTATTAGCCTGTGTATGTTCACTGATGGTTATAAAGTGCTATAAAGTGGGAGTCTGTGGTTTTTTTAAAAGACAGAGTCCCTGCAATCAATCTGCTTATGTTCTCATTTAGGCCAGTTGGGCAGATACAGATCCATGGGTATCAGGTAGGCAAGATTATGTGCATTACGTGGAGAGAAAAATAATCTGGTTAGATAAACATTTGCCTGCCCAGGATGAGATTCACACCAACGTAATCATCGAGCAACATTTTTTTACACCTAGAAGTTAAAAAAAGAAAACAATTAACAGAACCAAACTCTGGCCTGGGGACCAGTTAGTCTAAAGTTATAAATCCTCTGGCTCGCTCAGTCTGAACCTTTACCCCCCCATTGCTCAGAAGACTGAGGTGTCAGCACCTGGCTCCCACTGCCTCCCACTCTGTGCTAGGTCATGATTTCTTCAGATTCCCGGGATGTCTAAACAGCATCCTCTATGTGCCCTGTTTCTCATTCCTTTAGATTCAGAAAAGTACCACTTAAAGACTGTAAAATCAGCAAGTGGTTCCGATACGTAGGTGAGTATGGGGAGGCGGGGAAGTAGTCCAGCCTTGCACAGCCTGGCCTCATTGATGCTGACACCGGCGTGATTTCGTCCCCAACATGACCACCAAATTCCATCCAAAGGAACTGACGAATCTTGATCTGGAGAGATCATCGATGTGTGAAACTAGAGATGGAAAAAGCTGTAGCAGATCTTCCAGCAGACTTCTTTAAAGCAGCTGTTAATGCAGAAGCTGTTTGCAGTGCTGCTTTTTTTAACTACTGAGAATCAGACTTTTGAGACTAAGCCACATACCGCACTGCAGATCCCATTTCCTAACATGTCGCACCCATTTTTATTACCTTTCTCTTACAGAAAACACCACCTAGGTAACTGCAGGAAGTGCTGTGCTGCTGTCAGGAAGCCGTGACTGGCAAAAGCAAGCGTAAGAAAATGGACACCTCTGTTTTCTTTTCCTTGCAGCTGTAAAAATGTCTGACAAGCCCCAGATAGCTGCCAGAGCTTCCCTTATTGAGCAACTGATGTCTGAAAGGAACTTTGAGGATCTTGGCAACCATCTAACTGAGCTAGAAACTCTTCATGTGACGAAGGAGCATCTCCAGCAGACAGACGTCATCAGGGCTGTGTACAGAGTCCTCAAAAGCTGTCCCACAGTGGCTTTGAAAAAGAAAGCCAAGTGTTTGCTGTTGGAATGGAAAGCTCTTTATAAGGATCCTCACTTCAAACCAAGGGACAGCCCTGAATTATCCCCTACAGGTGGAAATGAAGAAAATTCGGGATTTTCTCCTGACGCAGGTCAGGAGAAGATATCGGACAGTTCCAGCCCTAATTCTCGGCTATTGTCCCAAGATGTTACAGCAAAAGCCACAGAAATGATTGCGCCTGAAAGTGGCCCTAGTCAAGTGGAACCTAAGGAAGAGCATGTCAGCGGTGGTGACCCCAAATCCACTGACAAGAGGTCAAGTGAGTTGCTGGATCCTGCAGTGCCCGTGAGAACTAAATGCACAGAGATTCTTCGTGAAGCTTTAACTAGTTCTTCCACAGATCAGCCCCAGGCCGATTTGTGGCACAGCCTTGCAAGAGAAATCGAAGGGCACATTTTTACCCTTTATTCAAAGAACCTGAAAAAATACAAAGCTTGTATCAGAAGCAAAGTTGCCAATCTGAAGAACCCCAAAAATTCTCACTTACAGCAAAACTTGCTCTCTGGGACCATGTCTCCAAGAGAATTTGCTGAAATGACTGTCATGGAAATGGCAAGCAACGAGCTGAAGCAGCTGAGAGCCTCCTACGCAGAGTCTAGCATACGGGAACATTACCTTCCCCAAGCGATCGAGGGGACGCAGACAAAGAAAATAAAATGCAGACGCTGTGAGAAGTTCAATTGCAAGGTCACTGTCATTGCCAGAGGAACGCTTTTCCTTCCAAGCTGGGTACGGAATTCAAACCCGGATGAAGAAATGATGACATATGTCATCTGTAACGAATGCGGGGAGCAGTGGTATCATAGCAAGTGGGTGTGCCTGTGATTATAAATAAATATTCTCTTAACAGCTGATAATAAGAGTGATAGCTTTTATTTGCACCACCCTTTTATGCCTGTTTTTAAAATCTTATACACACTATTCCTAATCCTAAAAAGAAAGAAAGACAGTCGTTGGCTGACGCTCACAACCACTATCACTAAAACTTGATGCTTTGGGGAGAGAGAGCGGTTGACTGTTTGCATTGTGCTTTGTGGCTACTTAATGCTTCGTTATACTCCGAGTCTGGCTGAGAACGGCTCAGCATAAACTAGGAGTCTATTAGAAATGCAGACTCTTAGGCTCCAAGCTACTGAATCCGAATCTGCACGTTGGCGGGGTCCCCGCCCGGTGAGCCTATCCAAGGTAGTTTGAGACGCGCTGCTTTAGCAATAGGCCTGTGGTTCTCAGCAGTGGCTGCATATTAGAATCATTTGGGGAGCTTTGAAACCCCACTGATGCGGAGGGCTCACCCTAGAACAATTACGTCTCAATTTGTGGGCTGCAGCCCAGGCATCCACGTTTCTTTTTTAGTTCCTCAAGTTATTTTAGGATGCAGAAATGAAAACTGTTCGTAGCTAGGCTCTCACTTGATCCTTTCCACAGTTCTGAGAAAACACTGTTTTGTATACTTTACAGATGACAAAATAGGTCCACAGAGGTGCCTTGACTTGCCCATGCTACACAACTATAAATAGCCCAAGTCGAATGCTCCCAGATTTTCTTCTGCCAAGTTCACTGTCCAAGACTGCCTCAGTAGTGACTTCTGAGAAATGTAGTTCTGGAGATGTGGGATTTTGTCTTGAGTCCTGTTGCTTAGTCAGACCCATGCATTTGTGTGTGTGTGTGCGTTGCTTTGCCCGTGTTCTCCAGGGTGTATAAACTCTATGACATTTGGCTTCTGATGTTAGAGTCTCTATATTCTCAAGGGCATGTACGTGAGGTCTATGGGGGAGGGCGAAAACCCTCCTAGGCTCTGTAGCTCGACTGCAAATTAGACTGACAAAAGATTAATGAGAAGAAACCAGTTTAGTAACGTGCAAGTGATACTCACTGGAGAAACAGCAATGAGTGACTCAGAAGGGTGGTTAGATCTTGAGCTTATATAGAATCTTAACAATAAATCTGTAGACAGTAGCAAGATGAAGGGAAAGGGCTTTAGGCTTTTAGGGGCAGCAAATTATGGGAAAATATATGAGAGAACTAACGGAAGATAACTGGCTATTGCATCAGGTTTGTGTAGACTGTTCCCAATGCCACCTTTTCTCCAGTGATGAGGTTGGTACCCCTTCCTGGTACCACGTGCGGAATTTATGTTCTGCTTTCAGGCAGGTGGGGGAGGGCAGGGAACTCACCCTATGTCTGCTTTTTCTCATTTGCTTTCAGCTCAATGATCCTCATGCCAGGATGGCGTATTTCGGGGCGGCATACTCTGAACCCGGTTAGAGTCGAAGTTCCAATTCTGGTTATGTAAAAACAGGCATTACTCTGTCACAGGAAGTCTGTTGCCTCAGCCTTTGAATCTACCAGTGCTTCTCAAATAACTGAATTGAAGAGGAAATTACTTCTTTGAGGCCTTTGCAAACGGTGTTTAACCAGTCCGCATAACCAAGCCTTCAGTGTGATTACAGCTGATTTCGTTCTTTTTAAAAAATTCATAGAATGTTAATTGTGATAGTTTTAACAAGTTTGCTTCTAAGTTACCTACAGACCCACACATTTTCACCAGTTCTTAGCTCCTAACTTCCCTAAGTTGCTCTGTCAGGTCTGAAGCCCTAAACATATGTACAGTTTCCCTGCCTTGTGTACCAAAAGGTACACAAAACTTATGTGTTTTCAACAGGTTTTGAAGAAATCGGCTTGAAGCCATCAAGTATGAATTCTATTTCAATCTCTCCCTGTGGCTTCCCAGAACTGCTTGTTGTGATGTAAGAACATGTTAGTCTTTTAAAGAGAAACTTGCAAAGTCACCTAAAACTTAAAGTTTCACAAAGTGTGGTTTCACGTGACTTGAAATGACCTTAAAAACTATTCAGTGGGTGTAAAAGAGTACAGCAAATGAAAACCAAGTGTGATTAATTCATGTCAGTGTTTGCTTTTTGGTTTGGTGTTTTTGTGCGTGTTTTGGGGTTGGGGTTTTTTGGTAGTTTTTTTATACAGGAATTTTGCAAACTAAATATACAGACAAATAAAAGCACCTGGAATGGAAATTCCTTTACTCTCCAACATGTAAAAATCTGGGTAGTCTTCCTCAATTTTCATCAACTTTGTCAGTGACTCTTGCAACTAGAGATAGGAAAATAGTAATCTGGGTTTTTTCTTTTAGCTAGTGAGATAGATGACATTTTCTAAGTATAGGTAATCATTCTTAAGAAGAAAGGGTTTAAAAAAAAAGTTGCTTATAGGGTAAAGGATCTTTAATTTAAAATCATTTTTTACAGGAAAAGAAGAAGAAAGGCTTTAAAAAAAAAAGTAGCTTGTAGGGTAAAGGATCTTTAATTTAAAATCATTTTTTACAGGAAAAGTCCCTAGGACAGGAGTGTGCCTGTCACACACAGGGTCCAGCCAGGCTCCACTGGAGCTGAGATGCAGTGGCAAGGGGAAGGACAGTGAGAGGTGAAGTCAGAGAGCCATTGGGCTCATGAAGGCCCCGTTGGGCATGATGAGGACTTTGGGGTTTTTTCAAGCCTGATGGGAAGCCATGGAAGCTAGGGACTTGGTAGCGATAAGATTTAGATGACCTCTGCGAAGGCTCCTTCTTGCTGCTATGTTGAGTTAGATGCGGAGGAAAGCAAGGATGGCTGCAGGAACACCAGCTAAGTGGCCGTAGCAATGGCCCAAATGTCATGGACCTGGTTTCAAACATGAGTATGCACACCGCTCTCCCTACATCCTTGCACCTGACGAAGCCCTTGGTGACGCGGTTCAGGACATACCATCTCTAAATATGGTGCCTGGGAATATTGGATATTTTAAGCTGGAGGAATTTGAGCAACAGGCAGGTGTAGGAAGGACTCTCTGATCTGCCCCTCTCCCCTGAGGCTGGTCATATGGCCCTCATGTGAAAGGCGCCCTCCCCACCCCCGAGGGAAGAAGCACCCTTACCTGCCCAGATGGGGGGAGGTGAGAGGAATCTGAACCAACAGGCCTTGCTAGGTTTCCCCCAGATCACTACCCTCAGGCTCATTCCTTTTGTCGCATCACAGTTTTCCAGAACTTTCCACTCTTCATCAAACCTAGTCTAAAAACACTCAGGTTAAACCATTTCTTTGGGTCTTTATTTCCTTATGAAAGCTGCTACGTGTTGTAAAACTTAAATAAATGTATGCTTTCCTCTTGTCAATCTGTCTTATGTTAAGAGCAGCTGAGAACCTAGCCGGGTAGAAGAAAACAGATTTTTTTCCTTCCCTACATTAGTAATATTACAAATGGGTGTTTCATAAAATACAACCAGCCCCAAATTTCCTACTTGTGGCCCATAATAATCACAAAAGCACAGAAATTCCACATAATACAGATATAGCCTGGCTCTCGGTTGCCATGGTTATGGGGAGCAGCTCTGCATTTGGCACACACATCAGTTGTTACACCTGAATGTAGAAGGGTTCTCTTCATGGGTTTTCTCGCGTCACTCGCCTTTTGTCCGTGTTACTTCTTTTAGATAAAAAGTGGGTACAATTGCAGCTCTGTCTCTCCCCCAAGCACTTCCTGGGATCAGAAGCCCCTTTCATTCCCTATTACCATTTTGAAGTACCAGTCAGGAAGCCTGCCGCTGGCAGCGCTCCAATGCCTTCGCGAGGGCTGGGCCTTCATCTTTTAGGTCAGATTGCTTTGTTATTTATAACTTACCAGTAAATGCAAAATATTTGACTCAGATCTTTTTCTATCTCAGAGGTATTTACTGTAAGGACCTAGATAAAGAGGGTACCTTGCTTCCATAAGAGCCCCCGATCTGAGGGGAGAACTGAAGAAAACCTCATGTAATCTCATTTGCATTATTATTTAAAATTAATTTTCCAGAGCTCTGTGTTATCAGAAAGGCTAGGCAGTAATGATTGCACACTGGTTTACACTTTGCCAGGTGCTGGGGACAGAGAGGTGATCAAGACACTGTCCCAGGCCTCGAGACCCACAGATACAGGGGAAATGCCAATGCCCTGTAGCCAGCAGTCATTTTACATTGGAAGAGACTTTAGAGGCAGAGGTGCAGGGGCTCCGGGGGCATCCCGGAGGACTTCCCGGAGGCTGTGACCCTTCAGGTCAATCTTGAGATGAAGTTAGTCACGCAAAGGTAGGGTGAAAGATGTTCCATCGCCATATTCACTAGATTCCTGGCACTTTATATAAAGCATCTCGTTAATCTTCACAAGTCCCTGCTAGCAACTTAGAGGCGAGGAAACAAGCTGAGAGATATTGTTGCTTGCCCAAGGGTGTACAGAGACAAAGCCAGAAGAACTCTCTCGTAATAAAACAGGATATTTTGGTTTTTTGCTTTTTTGCATATCGGTTTGTTTCCAGAAGCATCCAGATTCCTGTTAATTCCGCTCAAGGTTCAACTGTTTTTAAATCGTAGTTTGTTTTGTCAGTGACAGCAGTGTGTGGTTTATAGACTTTACCTTGGCCCAGTGCTGTGCACCCCTCCCTCTGATGAGGAAATCAGCCAGGAACACCTGACAGGGGCGGCTGGCTCTCTCAATATAAGGGAAGCTTCCCGAACATTCATGTGGCAGAGTGCCATGTGGTTTATCTGGTTCTCTGAAAAGCAAGTGATTTTTAAAATGCTAATTTTTAAAATATAAAAACATGTAGATTTTAAAGGAACATTTGTATGTTTATATTTTTACGAATTTGGAGACTAAAAGTATATCAATGCAGTTTCAATGACCATTTCCTAGAAAATACGATGGCTTTTATATCTTTGTTCTCTGTCTGTATGACCTAGGGAGACTATATAACACAGACATTCAATTTCGACAAAATAGCTATGTTGTTTGCATCCTTTGTGTTAAAACATTGCAAATGTACCACAGAACAGCAA